TTTGATTACTTTTTTTAGGATCGAATTATATGTTTTGTAATATGAAATGAAGTTTGAGTTACATTTGTAATTTGTTAGCATTTTATACATGTTGCGTTTTCTTTCACATGACACTTTGATGCCAGTGGTAATCCATGATTTAGTTTTCTTATTTTGGATCTTTTTGAGTTTTTGGGGGAAAACTGCATTGAAATGTCTTAAGTAAGTATTTGTGAATGAGTTAAACTAATCATTTGTATCAGTTGCTTTATATACTTCATTCCAGTTTTCAAATCTGAGTAAGTTTTGAAATTTTATTATGTTTCCTTGGGAATAGTTACGGATTTCTTTGTAAGTTGTTTGTTCCGCGGTTTTTGTTTCTGTGTGAAGTGTTAGAATCTGGGCAGTGTAGTCACTGAAACCTGTATTAAATGTAGCAACAGAAAAACTGTTATATTCTGATGAATAGAACATCGATTGCTAAGTATTTGGGGATCTATATTGATTGTAATTTTAAATGGAGTCATCAAATTCAACAAATTGTAAAAAAAGGTTAGATACTTAATTTATATCTTTTATAAGTTGAGAACTATACTCAATACTAAGCAATTGATGTCTATATACAATGCATTGTTTTGGTCCAAAACAACCTATGGTATTGTAGCATTGGGTGGAGCCTACGATAATAATATGAAAGCGTTAATTGATATACAGAAACAAATTATAAAGATCATTTATAATAAAAGCTAACTATTTCCATCGGAAATAATATTTAGACAAAATAAAATAATCAGCGTGAAGAAATTTTATATAGAAAAAGCGTTATTAACAAACTTTGAGTCTATGTATTATGATTGTAAAACTATTAGAGCGACAAAGAGGAACACAGATATCATTCCGAAGAAAATTTATAAAGAAATTAGTAGACGTCAGCATTATTATATTTGTTACAAAATATTCAACGCGTTGAGTACACAACTCAAAAATTGTGATGTTAATACACGAGGACAACGAAAGCGTAAGAGATCCTGGATTATTGATTTGAATGATTCAGTAATTCAATGATTTTATTAACCCATGCAGTGACTAAGGAATAATGTCTGAATATGTCTCAAATTATATTATATTTTATATTATTTTTCATTTTATAATTTTCATTTTTCTTTAATTTTATTTTTTCTTCAAAAATTGATAAATGAAACAGGTAGACATATATTATACATGATTAGTCATTGCAGGTTCGCACACAAGACTGTCTTCTGCGAAATAATGTCAACATTATTTGTACTTTGTTACAACCTGTAAATAAATAAATAAATAAAATAAAATAACAATAGTTATTTGCATTTATTATTTGATCTATAGCAGTGCTACTATTGTTTTGATATTCGTGTTGGTGTATTTATGGTTGTTTGTAAATTACATGATTTTAGTAGGTCTTTAAATAGATTTTCAATACTGGATTGTGTGAGGCAATTTATATTTAAGTCACCACAAAGAATAGTTTTATACTGTCTGTGTTTTTGAAGTTTTGTTAGAATAACTTCTAGATTTTTTAAAGAGATTTTCAAATTTCCAGCAGGGCTGCGATATGTGCATAAGACACATGTTTTTATTGTTGTTAAGTCAGTGATGAGTGTGATTTGTGTAGGGTACAAAACTAATTGTATTTTTAATAAAAATGCACGTCCCACCATATGCATGATGTGCGTTGTTAATATTTCGACATGAGCTACTCCCTAGAGAGAATTTATTACATTATTGAAACAAATATTAAATTACATTACAATTACAAACATTACAAACAACAATTACATTAACATTACAAACAATTATTAAATTATTAACATAACATTATTAAAACAACTTAACGTTCACACATATCCATGTTAATGCAATTCTTGATCTGATTTTATATCAACATCAATGGCACGTTGGATCAGATGTAGTTTATCTTTAGAATCATTTTTGTATTTACTGTAAAATATATTAAAAGTATTTTGTCCCAAAATGCAAATATTTGATACCTCTTGTATCCGATCCCAGGGCCCGCCGTTATTCACGCATCTCTATCAATTGAATTATGGAATCAAACAGCATTCATCACAATTTACTTGTAAGGAAAATTCATTCATGCTTTCACGAAGCCGACAGCACAGTATTTTACCTATTATACCGTGCCGACAATGAATGTGTGTGCTAACTCTGTGAAAATATTAAATACATGTTCAAGATAAATGCCATATAACATCTTGTCGAAAATTAGAGAAAACTGATAGAATGTAGTGATTATTAGCGTTTGAAACAAGGACATATAAGTGATACGCAACTTTCATTTAACTAATGCGCTATTGCGTGCCATTTTATCATTTTAACAGGGCCGGTTCACTCAATGTTAAAAGGCGGGGGACTAAGTTTGTTTCCTCACTCACCCGGACCTG